CTTAGGACCGGGGATATAGTTCCATGGCACAGTGCCTGCCTGGCAAGCACAAAGTCCTGAGTTCAATTTATGGTACAAAAAAAACAAAAAAAACAAAAACAAAAAAAAAACCAAACTATAGTCTTAGTCTTGTCTTTAGTTTTATTTAGTGTAATAGACACATAAAATAGGAAGAAAATGTTCAAATAGGAAGAAGGGGGGCACTAGAGAGGGAGAACGGGAAAAGAAACAAGAAATGAAGGAAGAAATGAAAACGAAGTTCTTGAGAGGAAGAGGATGGCCCACCCCTAAAAAGAGAATGGTCTGTTTCTATAGGAAATCCTGAAAATTACAGTATAATCTCAAAATCCTATTTATCCCTTTGGGAAGTATGTAAATCTGGCCATTGTGACTTTAATCTCAATGTATTGCCTTCTTCAAATGCTCCTTCAGCCAGTTTTGACGTGTTCTCATCTTCTGCACTGACTTCCTTGAAGCCCTAACACTGTTTATTTATTAATTTCTAATTTAGCTGCCTAATGGAAAAACCTATACAGTTTAATTTCAATCCCACTTAGCCATTATAGGGCAGTGCTTTTTTTGATACTGTGTTTTGTGGTGTTTTTTTTTTTTTTTTTTTTTTAATCTTTCTTTTTTTTTTTTTTTTTTGGTGGAACCGGGGATTGAACTCAGGCTCTTGGGCTTGACATGCAAGCGCTTATTCTACTGAGCCATCTCCCTGGCCCTGTTTCTTTTCTAGGAGTGGGCATTTACAAGCCAAAGTCTTTGTGCTCTGGCATTCATGGCTACTGGGTTCATTGCTATTTCTAAGCCTTTCTATAGGCAGACACACACACACACACACACACACACACACAGAGTTACATATAGAGTATGTATTAACATGTGTACTTTCAAAGTAAAATAGCTTATAAATTTATACTGATACTTCCAATTTAAATCAGAATGATAGGATTCTTAAAAAAATCTCTTCTATCTTGGACCTGTGTTTACTTTCTTCTATGTGGTTGACCCTGACTCTCAAGAATACGAAGAATAATGTAATTAGAATATCCCTCATTCTCAGCATAACAACATGAAAGTTATATAACTAGCAGTATCTTAAAATATTTTAAATGAATAGATGTATTTATTATTAAAATTAGTTGTTTGATTTACCTATAGTTAAAATTAAATATTTGTGCCATGCGTGTGTTACCAGAGAATATAAATCAGTGCATATTTATTACTTCTTCCTTTTAACTCTCAGTTTTGTAATTATGTTCAATGCAGTCCTATTTAACACTGGTCTTTATTTTGATATCTTTCTGGGTATTCTGGATTACTAAAGATCTTCTTAATGGATTTTTAGTTGAAAATCCGAGGAACAAATATTCCATGAAATTTGCATGCTGAAACCCATTTTCACATAGAGCCAACTCAGAGTCAGTCTTGCTGTTGCACATTCTCAGCCCACATCTTCTTCTCTCAGTGATTGTAGGCTATTCTCGCTCTATATTTTTAAGCATAAAGCGATGTTAATGAAAAGTTTAATGCTAATATATGTTAATCTAAGTGGTTTTTCCTCCTAAGTCATTTATTCTTGTTGCCTATCTGTCCAAAGGATACTGTAATTTGGAATTTCAAATCTTGCTTTTTTATTACGGCAAGTTTTCTCTTGAAATTTTCAAAACTTCATTTGTTTGGCTTCCCAGATTTGGTTTTCTTCTTTTCAAGGAATTCTATATATAATTCATATGTTCATTCTTGTCTCTCTTCAATAGGTATATGTCTTTCAAATCCTTTTACTTGTTTCTTCTTTTTATTATATTTTAATTTTTTTTCTTTCATTTCATCTTTTATGTCTCTTAAGGTATTATGTATTGTGTTATTAGTTCTTGGTTTTGTTCTAGTTCAACCTTCATACTTGAAAATATTATCTTCTTTTATTTTGGATTACTTTCTCAGTATTAGTTCATTCCTGAATTTTCCTAATTTTGACCTATGTTGTGTTTTTCATGAATCTTTTTCCTATGCATTTTAGCTCATTTTGAAAAAGAGCATTTTAATTTTGATCAGTTTGGTGGTTTTATTTTTCTGGTATATTGTGTCTGTGAGGATACTGTTCTGTTCCTTTATTTTTTCTTACAGCCATATGAGGTTTGACTGTGCTACTTTTCTGTTGATCATTTTAATGTGAGTCTAGCCTTATTAATTTTTTAGAAAAATGGTCCAGATAGCTCTTCTAGGTTGACAGAGCATTCCAGTCTGCTCTATGTTTGTGCAGTGATCCAAAATTGGGTGACTTGTTCCTGAGATCTCCTGTTTCTGTTTGCTTCCATTTTTTTTTTTTCAAATAGACTCTCTCTTGTTACTGTCCTGCCTGGTTTTGAATTTTTATTTTGTTTCCAGTGATGTATTCAGTCTGCAAAAGGAGCTCGAAGAGGTCAGTTTCAAGAACCCGTATGGTTCTTGTAGTTCTTGTTAGCCTTTCATTTATAATAATTTAGTTCTGAAAATGTCTATATCTATTAAGGATTTTTAACACTGTGAACACTATGCTAAGTATGTTACACATATTTTCTCTTCTCTTTGCACCCACCCCATTCCAGGGATTAAAAAACAACCCATGGCCTTAAATGTGGTCAGTAAGTACTCTACCACTGAGCTACAGCCCATCATGCATTATTCTTCTTAAATGCTCACAAAAGCATTATGAGGTAAGTGCTATCCTAGATCCACTTTGAGGGGGAAAAGCAAGGCAGAGAAAGATGACTGATTTGCTTAGTACACAACTGGTATGACTCTCTTGGTTTTTGGTATAGAAAATAAATACTTCTCTACTTGCAGAAGCAAAAATAACAATGAACTTGCTTGTTCTTGTGAATGTATCAGCCCCTTCAACTGCATTATGGACAAAATAATCTATCAATTCTACTCCTCGGCAGAGCCAAAATTCCCTCCCCTCCTAGACATCTCTGATTCTAGAGCTAGATTTTTATCCTTGCAATACTGCATGACTCATCAAACTTCCTAAGATTTCTGTGTTAGTTGCTGGAAGTTTCTTTCATTGTAGTACTCATCCCAGTGGAAGGCTGGCCAGATTATTTAAATGTCATGTAATGGTCTATGGTGCCTTTTAAAACTCTATGAAATTGGTGTCCAAGTAGGTTTTGAATGTTCCCTGTCTTTAACATAATTTGAATAGAAAAGACTTCTAATCTATGACTGTTTTCTAGGTTCCACTTGTATTTAGAATATTTGAAAATTTACTTTTCTTAATTTTCTAGATTCTACTTGTGTTTAGAGTAATTGAAAATTTGGTTTTCTTAAAACTTTAATTTTTTTAATTTCAACTTTTATAGTTCTAAGAATCAAGCACAGGGTCTTGAGCATATTAGATAATGAGCTACACCACCACTGAGCTACACTACCAGATTATCTTGAAATCTTTGTATGATTCACTTTCATGATATAGTTAGACTTTCCCCTAGAGAATACAAAATGCCCTGCCTATTACACAAGTCCTTCAATGGTAGGAATTTGTCAATAAAGCCCTGAAAGAAAGCTTGTCTTAAAGAACAACTTCAATATTTTTCATTTACTCTTTAAGTATTTATTGAGTATTTCCTACTCACTAGACATTATAATAAACATTAAGAACACAAAAAGAAACATAACTTGTCTAGGGCCATGTGGAGATTCCATTCTACACATTACATAGTACTATGGAAGTTATTTGATAAAACGTGAGGCCCAGCCAGAATGTTAATAAAGCCGTATTATTACTACACAATTTAAGGAGTGGAACATATCAAGAAAACTTCAAAAATTTTTTCTTACAACAAAGAAATGTTCAAGGTAATTTACAAAAATATCCTAGATCATTCTAACTAGAGAGTGAAGTAGCATTAGAAAGTATCAAAGACATTAAGAAACTTTATGTACATTTTAAATAAAAATTATAGGTAAGATATTTGTTTTTACCCAGTACTTGGCGTATCTCTGGCCATTCTTTCTGTACTTCTAGTGCAGACTTCAGCTTAGCACACAGAGGGACATAATCCATGTAATCGATTAATACACGAACAATGCTTCCTACGAGGTGTTTCATCCAAGGAACTGTAATAAACTCACAGAACTGAGATAATCGATAAATTCAATTTAGTAGTATTATTAAGGTGCCATGCATATATAACACTCAGTTTTATTAGGAAAGAACATACTGTGTCTTTTTATAGGAAATAAAGGATCCCTAACAGTCATGAGCAACCATGTTTGCTTGCTTCTGTTAGCTATTAGCCTTGGAGACTAGCATGGCTCTTTTGTGACTATGATTAACACAATTGAGAAGAATCATGTTTTTCTCCACCTGGCCCCAATACTCCACCATATAAGCACCAAGTGATTAATTACATACATTTTTACATTCCATATTGTATTTCCAAATCAAGAAAAATAAACAATATATTTTTGTGGCTAACTTCATACTTATGCCCTCATATTACAAACCAAAGAAAATCAAGAATAAGAAATGCATAAAAATTAAATCTTGTTTTTTTTTTAATAACATCCCTCAGTGAGTGAAAGTTTATGAGCTAGGCCTAGAGTACAAATTCTTAACAGCACATGAAACATGCTCTAGGATAGAGCATAGGTTAGGCCACAAAACCAGCCTTAACAGATTTAAGGTCAAAATTATGTCAAGGATCTTTTCTGAGCACAGTGATATAAAACTAACAGGCAGAGTTTGGGGAGCTTTACAAATACCTGGGCATTAAACAACATCCTCCTGAGCAACCAATGAGTAAATGAAGAAATCAAGGGGGGAAAATAAAAAATGTCTTGAGGCAAATAAGAGGATAATGACCCAATACACAGAAGAGAAGGAGGTAACTCACCGGATTATCTTTTATTACACAAGACGTCCAACCTGGAAGTACTTCTTCCTCAATCTTGGACCACACAAATGAATTTCCGAAAACGTCCCCATGCATACAGTCAAAGCACATCTCCACTTGATAGCCATGATTCAGCAGTAGCCTCAGCATGACTTCGTCGTTTAGAGCATACTGAATGGCACTGGGGAAACGAGTGTCATTCACACGCATGAAATAGCAATTGACATTAGCTCCATGAGAAAGAAGCAGCCGGACAATTTCATGATTATTGGCTCTCACTGCCACAAGGAGACAGTTGAGGGGATCCAGGTTTGGGTCTGCACCTGCAGCCAGAAGGACTTCTGTGCAATGGATGTCATTATTAGAAACGGCAAAATATAGTGCTGTTTTCCTTTCGTCCTCATAGCTCTTGGAAATGTGATCGGCAAGTAAGGCATTGATATCAAAACCACTTTCAATAAGCAGTTCTAGGCACTGTGCATTCTGTCCATCTGCTGCTGAGTGAACTGGAGTTAGCCCACTTTTCCGAATTGCATTTTTGGATGTTACTGGGATAAGATATTTTAATGCACTAAAACAAACAAAGAAACATCTCTCAAATAGCCATATGGAATAAAGAGAATTAAGAAACTAAATAAACTCTTTTCTTGCTAAAAAATGAATACAATTTATTTATTTTCTCTTATTTTTTGGTATAACCTTATACTTAAATGTTTAACCTTTTTTTCATCAAAGTCCTACTATGTAGTTTGACATAATATAGTTCTTTTTTAAATTATCCTTCTCATTCAAACACTCCCGGGGAGCATGCTGGATCTTATATGTTTGGCTTTAGATGTGACTCTTCAGGACCCCTCCTCATCCAATTTCTCTCTGAATAATCTAAATTTTATTAGCCACTGATGCTATATGATAAAAGTATTTCAAAAAGCTCTTCTGATGGCATTTAATAACTTTTCATGATCTTGACCATTAGAACCAACATGTCATAGGAAATGATAACTGGAATCAAACTTGGATATCATTTAGAATAAACCTTTTTCTTAATAGAATAAAAAAGTCTCCAGGGCAAAAGCCATTTAGCTAAAATCACAGTTACATGTAGAGATTTGGCTTTGATCTTAAGATTGATATTAATTATGCCTCATAACTGACTCATAAGTATTCAGTTATTTAGCATTGGTTATGTATATAACCTGTCTTTGACCATATAATTTATAATTGAATTTTTAGCCAAGATAAGTTTTTATTTCATCACACTTGTATCAGTCCCATCCAAATAACTGATCACAGCTTGTATTTCTAAGTACATGAGATAAATACTTGTGAATTTCACACTTGGCTACCCAACTAGACATGCATAAGAGCCACAAGCAAGGATAACTTGACACCTTGTGCCTAATTCAGAGCTCCCATGTGTGAATTTATGAAGACTGGGAGAAAATCCAGGTAAACTTCAACAACATGTCACTTAGCATCAATTATACATCATTAGCTTCTTAGCTAACACGGCCACTGAAAATGATAATACTACTACAAAGTTTCTGAAGTTATGAAACAGATTTAATTGCTATAAAACCACCTCTTATGGCGGATGTTTAGTAAATATAGTGATTTGAGACCTAGAGTGATGTGTTGATAACACATGATTTAAAAAATGCATTCAAATAGTTGTATGGAAACAAATCCAAATTTATAATGAAATATTCTATTTTAGCATACATTTACCTTTATACTATAACATCCTGGATGCTAGAAAATAATTAGAACAGCTTATTATATTGTTACAAATTTTAATTCTTTTTTTTTTTTTTTTTTTTTGGTGGAACCGGGGATTGAACTCAGGCCCTTGCACTTGCCAGGCAAGCGCTTATTCTACTGAGCCATCTCATGGCCCCATAATTTATTTTGTTTCTTTGTTTGTTTTTGGCGGAATCGGGGATTGAACTCAGGCCCTTGCGCTTGTCAGGCAAGCGCTTATTCTACTGGGCCATCTCCCCAGCCCCACAAATTTTAATTCTTATCAAGGGTAAAATTTTAGAAACTCTGTAGCCTTTTGTTACCATGTTTTAAAATAGACATTCTTGAGCAGCTTGTACAAAATGCTCAGTTATAACTTGGTCTATATAAAAGAGAATTAAGAGAGCATTTCTTTTCACTATTAAAGTAGTATAAATTCATCTTATACAAATACAAGAACATAAAAAGAAAGAAGAAAATCAACTTCTAAGCATTTCAATACAAGCCTTGTGAACACACGCTGCCTATTTTGCTGTGGCTTTGGATAGCACCCTATACAGAGGGATGGGTGATTATACTGCATACATGATTTTGCAATTCTAGTGTAAAATTATCCCCCCTCATGTACCACTCACAGATAGTGGCCCTCATAGGCAGCTCGGTGAATGGGGAGGTGTCCCGCTCTGTTGGGTATGTTTCCACTTCCACCATACTCCAGCAGGAGGGCGATGCAGTCAGGGTTACCCCCACCTGCTGCCTCGAACAACACTGATGCCCCATCATCCGCCAAAGCAAACACATCACCACCTGGCAGCACAAACATGGCTTAAGGTGACAGAACAGCAGTGTGAGCCTCATCCCCTTAAAAACAAGCTGTTGCTTTCCTTTCTGGTTAGAACTCAAAGTTAAACCAACCAATTAATTTTCACAGTGGACGAAACTTCCACTCTGTCTACTTCAACAAATATTTGTTGACTACATGATGTGCAAAACAGTATGCGTGACCTTCAAATGAATTAAATTTGACTATTAATTATAATAGGGAAATGAAACAAAATGCCATCAGAGAACATACATTGTATGATAGACCAGCAACATTGGTTCTGCAAAGCATAGCACAAGAGCAGGAAGACTATTTGGTTATGGCTGACGCAAGAAGCTATTAACTCCTGTGCATTTACATATCTGCATCTGGAGGGAGAGTAATACATCTCATTTCATGTGGATTCTTTAACGTAGAAATGAGGCTACCTTGAGACACTTTAAAAACCATTAGTGTATTTACCATAGATGCTACTTAGAGGGTTATGTGATCCAAGGCTTCATTTACACATGAGGAAACAAGAGTAGATAAATTGCTAACATTCTGAGTAGGTGGCACTGTATATTTTTAATTTAAAATGATCATCCCATAACACAATTCTCATGGACAATTTCCTTCATAAGTAGCATGATATATATAGGAAGATGCCTTGGCCTGTTAGGTATATTTTTACTTCCTTCATAGTAGAAATGGGTAGGAAGGTCGGAGTCGGTAGCAGAAACCAGTTTATGAATTAGGTGTCTTAACTCTTGGTTGTACAGTTATATAAAACACTTTAAGGGTCTAAAGTGGGGCAAGGTCACAATCTGTTGGGGAAAATTAAGGTAGAAATTAGAGGCAGTGTTTCAAATGATTGACTCTGAGTTTTGCTGGAGTGTATTCAGGGGTGGGGGCAAAGATCTGCTCCACACTAGGCAGAGGGGAATATCAGATATGTCTGATAATACTGACAGTCTACTTTGGCTGGAATCTAAGGATACCAGATAGGAATAGTGAAGCGCAAACCCAGGAAAACAATTCAGATTAATGTAGTACAGACTATTTCAATGGCCCTTGAAGGAAAGAATCTGTAGCTACAGTGGGTAGCATGGATGAGTGAATGGAAAACTGGAGAATGGCCGGGAAATGATTATACTGGTCTAGAGAAGAGAGATGGCAAAGATGGCAGCTGAATGTGGCCTTAGCAGCTGATGGGATCAGAAAATAAAATGATGGCGGAATTAGAGAGTATTAGTACACCTAATTTTTCAGTACTGGTTGTGGTATATTATAATATTGGGATGTGGGAAAAGAGGAGGAATTCAGTGTAGGCAAGGATATAGGTAGGACCTGAGTGGAAACCAGGCTGTTTCTAATTAGAGCAATCAGATCTGAGCTTGTGGATCTATCACTTGTAATGCACAGGGTTTATTCAGCTGTGGAAGGGGGATTAAGGCAGAGGCAGGACACAGGCCTGAGAGCCTCATGCTTGGTTCCATTTGGAGCTGGAAGAGGAGCCCACAGTATGGAGGAGAGGAGAGTTGCAGAGGCAGGGAAGACAGCAGGGAAGTGGCAGTTCTTTCCCACATACCTTTGTGGATTAGATGTTCCAAAACATCACAGTGACCAAACTCTGCAGCAACCCCTAGTGGGGTGACTCCAAACCCATCTCTCAGGTGGGTGTTGCCTCCATGGTTTAGGAGCAAAGATATAATATCTTTCCGGCCTTGCTTGGCTGCTTCATGCATTGCTGACCACCGCTTGACACAGGGTTGGTCAAGGCTGGTGTTGTGCTTGATCAGAGCAGATACCATGTCAAAGGAGCCTTTTTTAACAGCTTGAAAATGATTTTTAAAAAGAACAGCCAATAGTAGAGATATTAACATAAATAACTCACATAGTATTAGAGTAATTAACAAAATTAATATCAAAATGCATATTAGTTATTTTTACTGCATATTGTATAAAAGAATACTGTATTTCATGTATCCAAATACCTATATATGGAGTATAAATACTCATGATCCCACTCTCTTTTCTTTAAATCTCAGTGGGTGGTAAAAGTTACATGGAGGAAAAAAAAAGTGGATAGATTGGGTTTTGTAAGTTTATATATGCAGAGTGCAAGTATAGTACCCAATAGGACATCAGTAAATTATTTGTAGTATTTTATCATTCCCAGAAACCTGGAGCCATATATATATACAATGTTTATGAAGTTTTCCCCATAGAAATATTAGTCCCCCCTACCAAGGATAGCAGGAAGCACTGAGTGAACTTTTCTAAACTTTCATGGAGACCTAGCAATAGGACTCTGAAGAACCTAAGCAGGCCTGCCGTTCTAAATGGATGAAGTATGTGATAGCTCATGACTTTGCCAGAAGTCTCTCTGCTCTGTCACCCTGCTGGCTTCTCATGGTTGAGACCATACTGCCAAGAGCCCCTTCTCTTTTTTGTATTATTCATAGGTTGCCCCTGTTAAGATGCAAATACTTCCAAAACATAGAACATATTTTACCTTTTCACCAAGTAGAAATTTTAATGAAAACAGATGTCAGATTTCCTCATCCATTTATTTATCATTCATTCATTCATTGACTCACTCATTCATTCATTCATTCATTCATTCATTCATTCATTCACTTTTCACTTTATGTTCAGATGAATGGCTCTTTGTTGAGGAGGGATGGCTCGCTAGAGAAGAAGCCCATGCTGTCTTCTTTTTGAAAAGAGGCTCATCATGAGCCTTGGTGGGAAAGGCAGGAGAAGAAAGTTGTTTATGAGATCACACAATATTGCAAGATTACACACAACATTCTGGGTAGGAAGAGGTAAAAATGCAGAAAGATCTATATGGTTAGAGGAAATGGCTTCAGGTGGTGTGATGGGGTAAAGAAGTTGTTGTCTTTTCACTTTTTTTGCAATTTCTTTTGATGTGCAAAACTTCTCAATAAGAGGAGGTCCCAGTTGTTAATTCCTTCAAGTATTACCCATGTGATTTGTGTTTTGTTCATGAACTCTTTGCCTATCCCTATGTTTTCAAGAGTTCCTCCTACTTTCTCTTCCAGATTTAGTGTTTCTGTTTTAGTGTTTAGATCTTTAATCCATTTTGACTTTAGCTTAGTGCATGATGATAGATCTGGGTCAAGTTTAATTTTTCGGCATGTAGAGAGCCAGTTTTTCTAGCACCATTTGTTAAAGAGGCTATCTTTCTTCCAGTAAGCATGTTTGGCCCCTTTGTCAAAGATAAGGTGGCTGACTGTCTTCACAGAGGCTTCCATATTGGCATATTTTGCTGAATTCACACACCTACAATATTTAAATGACAATGGAATACCCATCTCTGACTAAACAAAAAAAGGGATACAAATGAAGGACCATTCTGTACCTGTATATTCAAAATAGGATAGATATACAGCTACTTTCTCTTAATTCAATGAATAGAAAGATTTGTACTAATAGTGTTTGTGGACAGGATATCATGTCTGCATCTTGTACTATGAATAACCACTAAGAAGACAATAATATGCAGTGTATTAATTATTGAAGCTGTCCTACTAATCAGTTTTTTTAAAAATTTACATAAGCATGGTTTAGGCTAGTGTGTGGCCTATCTTTACAGAAAGTTCTATGTGCTGCTGAGAAGAAAGTGAATTCTGTCGTTGTGGGTTGGAACACTCTGTAGACCTCTCGAGTCCACTTGTTTGAAAATATGGTTTAACTCTGATATTTCTTTGTTAATTGTTTTTCTCTGGTTGATACATCTATTTGTGACAGTTAGGTATTTAGGTCTCCCACTGTCATCGTGTTGATATACTAATCGGTTTTGAAACTGTATCATTGCTATTTGCTTCTCAATAAAATTATTAAAAAAATAACAAGAAGACTTCAAATTACTGCAAGAAAAAAAAAAGACAATTGTCTTCTTCATCCGCTCACTGTCTAATGTAGAATCTGTTGACAAAGGCCTCTCCCCAAACCACCCATCTGTGGCTGGCAGCTCTAATTGTAGTAAATTACCTTATCATAGTTGTGTGACTATAGAGCAAACTCTAGGCAAGCTAATTGAACTATGAGAAGTGTGTCCTCGTTTATCTCCTTGCCTTTTATAATTGGAAAAAAGTTTGTTTGATCATGGTCTGTTTTCCTTTTATTTCACACAATATATTGAATAGCAATAATAATCTTTCATCAAATAACAGTATATGAATGCCACCTCCAACTTCAAAAATTTCTTTAAAATTAATATATACTTTCTATTAAATTTTTTGGTGCCAAGGACATATTTTCAAGATACATAGGACAAATGAGGGGACATGCCTCCCAAGCTAACCTATAAAGATATTTTTAACCAAAAAAGTGACAGAAATAATGAAAACTATTAAGACACAGTTTTGAAATAATATAATCATTAAGTGAAATGAGAATGAAAAAATTCTGAA